GTTCCTGTTGCTTCGATAAACACTGTGACCAAAGCAACTGGAGGGAGAAAAGGGCTCCTGGGCTTAGGCGTCCTAATCACAATCCACTAAGGGAAATCAAAGCCGGAACTAAAGCAGGCCACGAACCCGGAGACAGGAACTGAAGTAGAGGCCAAGGATGAATGCTACTGACTGCACTGTTCTCCACGGCTTGCTCAGCCTCCTTTCTCTTACAACCTTGTACCACCTACCCACCCACCCAGGAACAGCCCTGGGCACAGTGGTGAGCCCTCACGCATCAGTCATTGATCTAGAAAAGTCCCCACAGTTTTGCCTACAGGCCAATCTGACGGAGGCATTTTCTCAGCCGAGACTCCTCTTTTCAGAGGACCGTAGCTTGTGCCAAGCTGGGAAAAACAGCAAGGACAACAAAACCAAACTTGTGTATATGAAAAGAAAACTTCAGATGAGGCAGGGAAAAAGCCAATCACTAAGTAAAAAAACAAAACCTTCCTGGATGCCCAGGAAAGAGAAAGCAGTCATGGTCAATGGAAGAACAGCACAGGTCATCAGAGCCATGTAAGAACCACAGAGCGGCCAGCGACGAAGGAGCACACGAGAGAATGGAAGGCTGCTGCAGGATACTTGATCACACTGTGTGAAGAGGTCTCTGTTTTACCTCACCTGCCTAAGGCACCTTCTGATGGGTTTAGCAAAGAGCTGGATGGCCAGTAGCTAGGGAAGAGAGGATGGGTGGGAATTGTGGGGAAAGAGGAACCAGTTTAGAATCAGAGAGGCAGAGATTCACCAGTGAGATGTTGTGGAGGTCGTACGTATGGTACTGAGGAGAGGTAATGGCCTTGTGGCAGAACATCGATTAATATAAAAGGGTTCATTTAAGTTTTGTTTTTTGTTTTGCTTGTTTGTTTGTTTTTTGTTTTTTTGAGGCAGGGTTTCTCTGTGTAGTTTTGGTGCCTGTCCCGGATCTCGCTCTGTAGACCAGGCTGGCCTGGAAACTCACAGGCTGCCTCCTGAGTGCTGGGATTAAAGGCATGTGCCACCACCGACTGGCTTAATTTAAGTTATTAGAGCTAGTTGGGAACAAGCCTACGTTTAAGCCAAGCTTTTCACACATAACAAGAAGGCACCGAGTCATTATTTGGGAGCTGGTGATCCAAAAGAAAGTCTCTGACAGAGGGCAGCCACAAAAGCTAGCTTGGAATGAAAAGGAAAGGGAAAGAGGATCAGAGGGCAAGTCTTGAGAAGTTTTGAAGGGAAAGCAGACCAGAATGTGTTATCTGAGAGAAAGATAGTTTTGAAATAGTTGCTCTATGAAGATACTCAAGAATGTGTGCATGCATTCAGAAGAAAAGAGCTGAGTAGTTCAGCACAACAAAGCAAGTAAAGGGCAAGAAAAGGCGCCCACAGCTCAGAGGTCGAGGAAGACAGTCTTATCAGTTTGCAGGCCCTTGAGATAACAGTCACTGCGCTTACCGCAGGAAGAGGCTGGGTTCAGAGGTCTGGTTCAGTTACTGGGATGAGGTAGACTTTGTGGTATGGAGATTAGAGAAATGATTCATTGCTAGTTTCTATTTGTATTGAGTAAGACAGTGATCTCATCTCAGTGAGAAGTGGAGGATCAGTGGGAAGAATTGGAGAGAGAGGCGTTAGAATGTGACAAGAAGGGAGACAGAAGTGTAAGCTCCCTGGGTGGCACAGATAATCCACACGAGGCAGGCGTGTGGTAGGGGTATATACTTAACTTGAAGTCAACTTCTTGGAGTGCTTTTCTCCAGCAAAATAGAGAGGGGGGAGAGAGAGAGAGCTCAGCAGGTGAGAGTGTGCGCTGTTCTTGCGAAGGACTCTAGGTTTGGAGTACCAAGTCAGCAACTCACAACTGGTTCTCATCTGATTCCAGAGGATCTGATGCTCTCTATGCTCTCTCCCGGCCTCTGTGGGCAACAGACATGCATGTGGTGTATACACACACACACACACACACACACACACACACACACACACACACACACACAAATATTCACACTTCAAATCAAAATAAATACATCTTTGAAAAAACAGGAAACAATGAGATATTCAGACAGAGAAAGGGATGGCGCAGGTTCCAGGGCACAGGAGCTTAGGAGGGCTTTTCAGACGATTTGAGCAGAACCATGAGAAGTGAGCGTAGTTTCCCAGCATCTTATCCAAAGAAGACAGTAAGAGAAAAATCTCTTAAGTGGGAGCATAATTCCTGTGTAGTTGGCACAGTTTGAAGATGAGTGGTGAGAGATGAGAAGGAACAGAACCCATTTTCATAATTCCTGTAGATGAGGATAACTGAAAATAATGTCAAGTATGGAGAAACTCAATGTGGCTCTAGAGTAGTCCTCAGAGCTCATTTGCCCAACATGTATTCTTAAACATGAAGAATGACTTAGAGAGGCTGGATGAGTCTGCACATTCATAAGATGAGTATCAGAAGACCCAGGCCTTGAACCCCTGTCACGGAGTCCTAAGCTGAACCACATTCTCCTACACTATACTTCCTTCCCTCCTTCCTTCCCTCCTTCCTTCCCTCCTTCCTTCCTTCCTTCCTTCCTTCCTTCCTTCCTTCCTTCCTTCCTTCCTTC